TGAACGTTGTCCAAGTATTGTAATCTATAAACAAACAAACATTTATCTTATAACGAAATTAAATATTTAATATATTCTATATGTTATCATTATGAAAACATCTCTATTACATCATAATAGAAAAACATTTACCTGTTTGGTTAGAGTTAGTGCCATTGCTCGTGATGTATAATAAATCAAAATTAATGATATTTAAAAGACTTTTAATCCATAAGTTTGTTTTAAATTGTATCGCATGTTGGATTCCTAAAATTTGTCGACCGGTCGATCAGCTGATTACTCCTGAGGATACGTTACTGGCGACCTCTGTACCGTTAACATCTGCAAAAGATTAATTGAAAGCACATAAATATATTTTACTTGTAATTAGGAACTAAAACAATTGATAGTATTTTAAATATTAATGAAAGTAAAAATAACAAATAAGCTCAAAAATGTATAGTATATTATACGATAATCGATTTTGTAAGATAAAAATAATCGATATCAAAATAATCGAGATAATATATATCATTCATCTTTACGTAGGACCGAGTGTATTTTTGTAATTATGGAAAACATAATTAATAACGACGAAGGTATTAAAAAAGAGCAACTACGATGTTTCGTTTGTGACATCAATGTTCAGGGACGCTATTACTACCTGGCTACATGCAGAACACAAAGTTCGCGATCAAAAGTGATCGAGATACTCGGGGAGTTAGTCGGCGAAAGGTTATGGATCTTTATCAGTAATTTGTAGTATAAGCGTATGAGATTGTAACTGAATGCTCTCACGAAATAACTGAATGCTGATGAGTTATTTCGTTATTTTCTATCGCGCAGATATATGGTCGTGATATCTGAAGACGACGTGATCTGCCGTAGTTGCGCCAGTCATATAAATACTCTCGACAGGCTAGAGATGGAAATGCGCAACGTTCGGAATCATGTTTTACGATTTCTAGAGCGAAAATATTGCTTGGAAGAAGGTGAACTTTTAGGCAATAGTGATAGACCCAAACCGAGTCATCCACCACAAATCACAAAGTGCAACACCACAGAGATTATTGATAGCTGCATCAAACGCAACAACGTTGACTCTGAGATATATTTATACAACAGGAATCAGGAGAAAGAACAACAGCAGTTGAAGCAGTCTCATGCGCGACTGCAATGTGATAAATGTAAATATACTACGAATCTCAACTCGTTTATGATGCATCATATAAGGGACTATATGAAACAAAAGATATTCTGTAATAAATGTGGATTATGTGCTTCTGAAAGTAAGGAGGAAATATTGCCCAATTCTAAGACAATTGTAGAGCAGTTGGGAGGCAATTGTGAGAAAGGTTGGATCTTAAAAAAGAGTGACATCATTATGCTAATTATTAGATTCAGTTCTCTTTCTAATTTTTATAGTACTATCAATATCTTGCAGATCATTCTCAAATTACCAGTGACAATTTCATAGACTTGTCACTTTTTCACAAGATGACACAACTTTTACCAGTTCAAGCAACACAGAATACTCAATTACCACTGATAAATGCATCAAATTATGAATATATTTCCAGTATATTATTACCAGGTAGGAACAACAAATTTACTTTTATGATCAATTACTGGAGATGAATTTTAAACAGTAATATTCCTGTCATAGAAGGTAATCTTCCTTCATCCTCTCAGCAACAGACTCTCTTTCTTCATGCAATGGAAATGGACAATGTCGAAATGGACATTTCGAATGAAAAAATAACGAGGATATCAGAGAAAGCGTAAAGAAAAGAAAGCAGAGAACAATTGGATAATATTTCAATAATTCAAGTTGTAAACATTGCAAACATTTATTCACGTTTTTGTATTTCATGTTACGATTGCGTACGACTAACGTCGCGATACTATGTAAAAGATTGTCAACGTGTTGGCTCATCATGTAAAATAATTGCCATTATAATAGCGGTAGATTTTTATTTTTTCATGAAAGGTCGATAGTATATATATTCGATTATCGATAATTCGACTGTCGATGTGCATTCTCTTAAAAAATTGCTTATCTGCGAAAGAGGGCGGGTATATTCTCACTGGCTTGGTTTCCACCGTAGTCATAAGTCCGGTTCTACTTCGGTGCAGGATCGAATTTGGGTACTGTTTCCAGTGAAAGCAGAGTAGAAGTGAGGAAGACCCAATAAGAATTAACATTTCAGTAGAGCCAACTTAAGTGACCATGTACTTCTTGTTCGGAATATCTTGTTGACATTGGCCGCGTTCAGTAGAACAAAGTGATCAGTGAGCGCTTAGTGATTATTGTCTGTGATTGGAGCATTCTTTTAGATTCTTGATAGACCCAGAAGTATTTACCAATCAGGAGCGAGATTCGGTGGAAAATCTAGTAATGTTGTCCAGCTGTTGAGTCTACTGAACGCGGCCATTTATTTTGTATAAATGTAACTGCTTACCTGAATAATTTTAATAATGTGAGATAAATGTCATGGCAATCACGTTTCGTAAAGGAATGCTTGCACTTTAGATTATATGAAAGTTATCTTGTAGCAGAGAGAAATCTGAGAACGGCCAACACGGCATTTTCTGCGACACAGACTTCGCACTGGGAAAAGGCGCCATCTGCATCCATTTTGAGAGGGGAACATCCACTACATCCACTTTCAGGCGGTTTATGTCTGTGCTACAACCATAGTTGCCACCTCTATGCCAGACTTTGCCTGGAGGTTTAAAAAGAGCGGCGGAGGGGGGAGCAGGAAAAAGTATGTATTAAATATTAAATCTTCGAATACATTAACATATTAAGTTCAAATTAAACATCGTGAGATAGTAATAATCATTATAAAATTAAACATTATTCATATTTTAACGAACATACGCATAGTACACTAGTACGAACATACACTAGTATTACATAGTTGTAAGAAATGTTAAGAAAAAATATGCAACCACCCGATAAAATATTTTAATATATTAACATAGTATTACGTTTAAATTAAACAGGGTGTATAATTAAACAGGGTGTTTATATTAAACAGGGGGTATAAACATTTTATACAGGGTGTCCCGTAATTAGCTGCTAAGCCGAAGTGTGAAGGTAGATTGGTTTAAAACAAACATAAAAGTCCCACTCCATTTTGCAAGATATGTAATAATTGTCGAGTTATTAATAATAGAAATCTGACGAATGAGCGCGCACTCAGATGGATGATTGGAGAAGCGTCGCAGCCTCTCGGGTTACAACGTGTCCCAGTCGAAAAGGTTTAGATACCTAATGTAGTAATACATTTTGCTTTTATTTATTTTATACATTTTACTTTTATTTATTTTACTTTTTCCGAAGATGGATGGAAATGCACCAATCAGAACGCAGTATTTTCATCCAGCGAGCAATCCAGTACAAAACAAGCACCGTGTGCCGCTGTCTTTAAGGCCCATCTACAATGGCTGCAAGAATAAGGTTGTAAGCAGTAAGAAATGGACCAATCAAAATCGATTATTTTTATATTAATCGACTGTGGTTGGTCCATTTCTTACTGTTTACGCTTACAACCTTATTCTTGCAGCCATTGTAGACGGGCCTTAATACTTGATTATGAATATCAACTTAAATCCCGTAGGACCAACGGTTTTTGGCTGTGTTCCAAAATTCACTGCCAGTACTGAAAATACATAGTTTGTGTCACGTATATTATAGATTTTCAGTGCTGGCGGTGAATATTGGAACATAGCCTTTATGGCCTATATGGTCTGTTTTATAGCTGCACTGCTGAACTGGTGCAATAAGCTAGAGTGAGAGAACCTATATTTGTCTCACTTCAATTTATTGCACCAGTTCAACAGTGTGCAGCTACAAAGAACAGACCAATTATCTCGTCGATGCCGAGCGCAAGTTTAAGCGCTAGTGATATTTGTGGTGCAATATTGCCGTTACTGCCTATTTGAAATACTCGAAACGGATTTTGGAGGCAATCTGGTGACAGGTTGAGCCAGTTGTAAGTGTTACGAGCATTTTACTTGAATTTCTTTGTTCGCGGGTGCAATGGATATCGAGATACTCAAATGTGATACATTGGAAGTTCTGCAGAATGGTGACAACACCATTTTGCAAAAGTGGATATCCTCGTGTCGAGAGTTTCGATCGCACGTCGCCGCCAAGATCGAGGAGAAATTGTCGCTGGAGGCAGGTGAGTTGCATTCACGAGGTGAACTGAAGCGATCCAACATTTTCTGTGTTTATAAACACAAATTTGTATAAGAGCAAACTTTATTGGTACAAATGAATCGTTAGAATTTTTTGTATACGTCATATTTTGCAGATAACACCAAGAAGAAATCTATCAACTTAGAACAGACGACAGGTCTTCAACAGGAAATCAACGCTGTTGAGTCTAATATAAACAACATTGTGCCAAAACTTAAAGTAGTTGATAAAAAAATATCTAATGCTACAAAGTTACAAGAGAATATAAAGACCGAATCAGATGAAATGAAAGCTCAATTGGAAACTTTGTCGTTAGAAGTATTAGACTCACAAATCAGTAAGTGTATCATTATACCTAAGTCAAATAGTTTGGGATTGTAACATTTCTCGTGTGATTGAGTTTATTGTTATATCTGTTTTGTTTGAATGTCATTTCAGAAATAGAAGAGAGAAAGAAGAAGAAAGTTTTGACATGGGATGCTCTTAAACGTGCATGCAAACTGTACAAAGTGAATTTGGATATACATATAAGTCTTCAAGAGGAGAAAGATTGTCAGAATGTAAAATTTTCCTTTTTTACACACAGTAAAGATATGCAGGACATGTACTTTGTCCAATTATCATGCATCCAAGATCACTGGAAAGGTATGCGACATTAAAAATTCAACGTATCTGAAGTAAAAGGTATGACTGATAATGTTAATAGCATAATCATTATTTCAGTTGAACAGATTGAACCAAAAATAAAGGAGGAACATTTCAATCAGTTAAGCTCCATCACAGATTTTCCTGGCTATTCCAAAGTATCAGACATTAAGTTGTTTTTGTGCCAGATACGAAATGTATATCTAAAGTATTACATGAAAACGAGAAAAAAAAAACTGTAAAAAATTTGAGACTGTTATCAATGTTGGTATTTAAATTGATATATCTTACAAGAAGCAGTGTATTCTTATTCTATGCCCCTCCTTGTGAGAGTAGTCTTTATTAATAAAAGTTAACATATTTATGCTACAGTAAAAGTTATACATATAGGATATGTGACATACCACACACGTCGCTGCTTAAATATCTGCACGATTTCACACGATCGTACTGTTCTCGCCGTTGTCACGATATAATGTTTTTCCCTTTCTTTTTCTTCCTTCTCTTCATTTTGTTCTCCTCCAGTTTGTATTGTTTTACAGGGATTTTACGATTGTCCGGGATATTGACGTAAAAATAACTGGAGAAGAAGGAATCGATTTGCGAATCACAGTGCGGATAAATAACTTAGATGCTAAGATTAGAAACAGGTCTCTGCTTTGTCTTTTTATAAGTATATATATATATTTACATAATATATGTATAAATGGTACCTATCGTACGTAAAAGCGCTTGCAGACATCGCGAAAGATTCACTTACAAGGTAAAACCAATATGACGTGTGTAATTCTCGAACTAACGCTCCGATCATTCTCCGCGACAATTGTGTTCCGTAATGCGAGCAAATACCCGTGTATTCTCATAGCAGAGTATACGCTGTTCGCCCGGTACCGTAATACTTATTTATTTCCTCCGCAGTTTTCGCGATGTCCACGACGCCATGCTTCCTCTATTATTAACACGTTCCGCGGCGAACTAATTCTACACGAATCTTACACGACTTGTCTACGCCGCGTTATCACGCGTCGTATTTTACCTGTCAAATAGCGCTCGTGTCGTGATAATTATCCAAGCATTTGACAACCATATCTCGCTTAGCCCGACGACCGAACATCAAACGGAAAGCCTGAACGGGAAGTTCAGCGTGGGCCAAGTCGGTGGCCCACGCGGCGCGGAACGTGTTAAAATACTTAACAGATAAATTATTTTGATTCCGAGTTCTAGCTAATTAAGCTAGCAGTCGTACTATGGACTGCCCTTCTGCAATATGTGTGTACGTTTAAAGAGAATCGGGCGCGGAAGAGATGACTTCACGACCCTATGATTTGATAAGATCGACGATTAGCGGTTAATGCGGTTCAACGGCGGATTTTACGGATTTCTCCATTTCGGCGAGAGTATCATATCTCTCTCTCTCTCTCTCTCTCTCTATCGCGCGCGCGCCGCTTCTTTTCGCGAATCTGCTGTGCAGATTATCACGCGTTTACCTCAATATATGCTTATACCTGCATTGGTATAATCTCCCGCGCGCGCGCGTTCTCGCACAGAAACGGGCCGATCCATTATGTATGCGCGGAGGCGCGCTGATAACAATTCATCCCTATTGGCACGAGTTAACGGAGGAGTCAATTGATCGCCCACTGCCAATCTGTCCGTACCATGGCATAAGTTAACAGATTTCATTTGCTCCATTGACCCGCCGGGAATCCATTTACATATACACACAACCATCGAAGGAATTCGATCGAGGACCGAAATCTCTTCGGCGAATTACTTGCACATCGCGCGACCGTTTTCGAATTCTCATCCGCGCGGGCTACGTCATCCAGAAATCCCGACGAGCGTCTCGCCGGGAACGACGCTTCAGCGCGTTTCCGTCGCGCGAGGATGTTCCGCGAAAAGTCACGACGACGACGTCGACAAGAGCATGGAACAATGAATTGACGACGGCGGCGACGTTCGCGAGTTCCGCGAACGAACTCTGACGGTGTTTCGTCGGAGAAACGCGGACACGACTATCGACATGATTTCCTGTTCGTTATTCATCCAGTGCATGTGTGTATGAATATGCGTGTGACGAGAAAGAACGCTAAATTAGAGACTGCTTAGACACCTATGCGCGAATGGGACTTACCACTGATAGAGACTATTTACAATGTATAAAGGAGCGTGCAAGAGCAGCCCGACAGCATCGCGGAGCTCTCGAGCTTCCCCGAAAGCGCTCGCGGATATTTGGTGCGTCGAGAGCCCTTGTTACACATTCTCACTACGTACTAGTGTGGGAGTCTAGAGACACGGCATGTCGCATTGTCGGACGGTCGCTCCGTTCGCACTTTGGTGGATCCTCTTCCTTCTTCTCCTTTCTTCTTTCCTTCTTTCTCTCGCGACGGAGACAACAACGGGACACACGCGCGTGCGCGCGCGCGCGCGTGTGTGTATGTGTGTGTGTATGTGACGATGCAAATCACCGATTTTCCCCCCGCCGGATGCCCTCGCGATGATTCTCTCGCGAGAACGAACAAACGAACAAGCCGCGACCCGTTTCTCTTTCTCTACCCCCTCTTCCGCATCCGCTCTTCTTTTTCTTCTTGTTGTTGTATTTCTTGATCTTCTTCTCTTTCTTATTCTTCTACTCGCTCCTCCGCGCTTCTGTTGTACCTTTCTCTCTCTGCTTCCCGCGGCTTCTCATCCCGCGTCCATCGATGTGATTGTTCGCGCGACTATTCTCGAAGGGGGACCACCACCCGGGGGTCGCGACGCGCGACCCCCTACTCGAGGGTGGCAGCGAAGGACACGTTGCCGCCAGATGCGGCCGCCGCGGCGGCCAACAGCAGCGTCGGCGGCAACGGCGCCGGCGGCATCGCCGACGTCAATTCGACCGTCGGCGCCGACGTAGTGGTTGGGCAATCGCTGCCGACCCCATAAACCTTGGCGTGATTTACTTCGAGCGCGACGGTCAGGTCGGCCAGGCCGGCGTCGCACAGCACGGGATTATCTGCGGGCAACAAAGCGTAAGTTTGTATGTGTATGTATATGTTTAGTAAGGGCCTGGCTGTCAGACACAATACGGACAAGACGAGGAAGGAGGTAGGAGGGATAGGAGAAACTTACTCGAGAGAGAGAGAGGAGAGTCTCTCCACCTCACTCCTCGTTGCAGACCTAAATTAGTGAGTCACAATCTGCAATGTTTTGATTGTAATTATTTTTACGTGAATTATCATGAAAAATTTATCGTAAAAGCGCGCGCGGGATTAATGGCGGTGTGGCGCCAGCCGCGATAACGAAGATTAGCCGTTTGTTACGACCGGCCAACGTCGTTTTGAAACAGCCATGTGCGCGACGGATCAGCGCTCGCATGACGTGGTTGACAAATTTTCAGCAAATTCCGAGTCGCATTCGGTTATCAGTTCCGGCAGCGGTTTTTCCGAGCGGGTAGCGGCGAGTGAGGAAAGAGAGTGCCCGACGATGGTGGTGCGGCTGCGGAGACCGGCCGCGGAAGATAACGGGATTGGGCGCGATAATGCGCTCTCGCGAAGACGATATTAACAATAACAACAGCTCAACTCCGAAGTACCGAGGAAAAGACGGACGGACAGAGAGACAGAGAGAGGGAGAGAGAGAGAGAGAGAGAGACACGGACTCCGGTATATAATAAATAATTCGAGATGGCGCCACAACGGGGGTTATCGCGAGAAATGTAACAAATAATATGCGCCTCTGGAGCCGAACGGAGACAAGTCATTATCAGCGAGTAATTTATTTTCTATCTCCCTCCGTCTCTTCACAGTGGCTCTCTCGAGCCGCCCAGCCGCGCGTTCTCTTCGCCCGCTTTCCTCTATCTTTCTTTCTTGCCTCGCTCGTTTTCCTCCTGTTTGTCTGTTCACGCTAGACCTTACAAGCAGTGTTTATTAATTATGCGATGCCGCTGCACACCGCGCCGCGCCACGCATCGTTCTCTATTCTCTTCGATCAACGTTTAACGACCTAATTGGGTTTAATAGTGTGCCGATTGTTGCGAATAATATTCGACGGACGAGACCCTCGGGAAAGTGACAAAAGCCGTCACAGTCATCGCGATGTTGAGTTTACAGGGGAAAAACGGCGGCAGCATCGAGCAGCATTCGCGACGTTTCTTCTTCTTTTTCTTCTTCTTCTTTTTCTTCAAATACCGCGTTATCTTCTTCATCCTTCAATTTAAAAGAAGACGAAGTCTCGAGCGCGATAACGATCGTTCTTGCAAGGCCGTCTCGGAATCTGTCACGTCGCTGACTGTCGTGTCACCAAGCCGGGACTCTTCTATAGGAATCAGAGTCTCGTCTACGAGACAGTTAACTCGATTACCGTTCGTCTGTAAAGGGTCTCTCGCGCACCGTGCGAGCGTGTGATAACGCTGCAGCATATATCCATCTTTCTCCCGTTGACGCGATATTACGAGGGCAAATAATTTCGCCGACTCACCGATCGGTCGCTTCACCCGTCGTCAGATGTCGCGTGTATGTATTTCGGAAGAAAGCCAATCATCGCTCCGCGTGCGACTTATTTTTGCTTGCCTCGATATCGGAAATTATTTTCTGATTACACTGTGTATTTTTAACGTAGCGCGGCGCTGCTTTTAATTTTTACGCTCACCGCCGTTATATAACGCTATCGTAAACAATCCCTTGCACGCGCCAATGGGGCTGTCGCGTATACGCGGTAGCGAAAGTGTCGAGCCTGAAAGCGACACCGGCGATTGAAAGGACAACGCCGACGGAGGCGGCTGTGGCGCGACGAGGGACGTTTCGCGAGTAAGAGAGAGAGAGAGAGAGAGAGAGAGAGAGAGAGAGAGAGAGAGAGAGAGAGAGAGAGAGAGAGAGAGAGAGAGAGAGAGGGAGAGAGAGGGAGAGAGAGAGAGAGAGAGAGGGAGAGAGAGAGAGAGAGAGAGAGAGAGAGAGAGAGAGAGAGAGGGGGGAGAGAGAAAAGGAAATCTCGATATAAACTCACCTTGAAGGTGTATGCGTAGCACGTCGGGGACTCCGTGAATCGTGCACCGCGTGTTGGCCACCAGCTCCGGCATGAGGGTGCGTATTTGATTCATGCTGACGTCGGCCAAGCAGAGCACCGGGAAGCCGCGAAAGTCGCGGCCGGACAGTGTGATCAAGCGATTGTGCGACGCGTTCAGCTCCTCCAAGGATGGCAACCACGTCTGCAACGACGATCGATCACTCGACGCCTCCGACGCGGAGGGTTCCTTCCACGGAGAAAGGCGGGAGCGGGGGGGGGGGCAGATCAAGAGGATACAAGACACAAGGGGAGGAGAGATCAAGTGCGTTTAGCCTACCTCCGAGGTGTCCTCGAGCGTGGTGAGTTGATTGTGAGAGATATCAAGTACGCGCAGCCCGTCGAGACCGTAGAGGTCGCGGGGTCCGATCGTAGGGCCCAACGCGTTGTGACTGAGGTTGAGTCTTTGCAGCTCCTTCATGCCGAGAAACAGCGAGCCGTCCAAGCTGCGCAGCTCGTTATGCTGAAGGCACATATCCTGGATGTTGCCGCCTGCGATCTCTTCGCCCTCCTCTTCCACGAGATTCTGCGGCGAGGGACACCCGAAACGAATGTTCGTCGTCGGATTAGTCATCGTCGAGGACTCGGTTTAGACTCGGTTCTTCCTCGCCGTTACGGAATACCTACCTCCGAGGAGGGCCTATCCCTGTGCAGTCTGGCGATTCGGTTGTTCGACAGGTCGAGCAACCTGAGCTCACGCAGACCGCGTAAGGACGTCAACGAGAACTCGCGCAGCTCGTTGTGTGTCAGGTTCAGGCACTTGAGCGACTTGAGGGGGTAAAGAGCGCTGCTGCCGTTACCGTCGCCGTCCGCACCACCGAGCGACTTGAGGGAGTTGTGGCCGAGCTCGAGGTCCTCCAACATCTCGGCTTCTATGAAATCGTCCGCGTTCAACTGAGGGGGCACAATTCAGCGTACGTTCAATTTGCTATCCATGTGTGATCGCGTGATTAATTCAACAACTGACGACGACGACGACGACGACGACGACGAGTGTTGCGTGCGAGCGAGTGAGATGCACGGATATATAAGGAAAGTCGAGAGATGTCTGTTCAGTTGAGATAAACGGAGACAGAGCGAGAGCGAGAGAGAGAGAGAGAGGGGGGAGGGCTCGAGATCCTTCCGCCTGGCGGAAGGCGGCAATAATTACGTTACATCGTGGTAAATTGACTCAATGTACGGCGTGCTTTAGCGTGAACGAACGCCTCGGCTCCGTCCGGCGCGTCGCGACGCGTTAAAGCGTATCAACGAGAGCACGTGCGCTCCGAATGCGCTCGCCCGACACACAACGTTCCTGTGACGCATTTACTCTCATTCTCGATCGACCCTCAAGGGAACGATCCCTCTCTCTCCCTTGATCCCGACGCACTGTTGACCGATCTTGTGTTTTGACGGTTTGGCAATAAAAAGAAGGAAAAAAGAAAACAACAAAGAGAGAGAAACGAGCAGTCGGGAGCAAAGAGGGTTTGCGAACAATATTGACGACGGTCGGTCAACGATGCGTTGTTGACGCAGACTTGCACGAAAAATAGCCGGTTAAGAAGTAACGGACGCTGAAAATAGCCGGTCAACAATGCGTTACGGAGAGAGCTCGTTTCTTCAAAAGAGGGGACACGATATTCTCCCTGTTGTCCGCGCGCGCGCGCGAGCAGGAGCGGATAAGACACGGCTGAAGAGCGCTCGTTCGCACCCCGTTCTAAAAATCGGGAACGGGAATTTAAAAGCCGAGTTTAAAAGCTCCAGGAGCGCAAGGGTCTCTCTCTCTCTCTCTCTCTCTCTCTTTCTTTCTCTCTCTCTCTCTCTCTCTCTCTCTCTCTCCCTCTATCTCTCTCTCTCTTTCTCGCGCGCGTGACGTAAGCGTAGCGAGGCCAAATACCTCTTGCAGCTCGTTGTACGAGAGCTCCAAGAACTTGAGGCCCCTCGCCTTCTGCAAAGTGCCGTCGAGATTTCGAATCTTGTTGTGCTGGAGGAAGAGGCTCTCCAGACGATGGAGGTAACGGAACTCGGCCGGCAGATGCGTCAACTTGTTATCCGCGGCGTAAAGCATCTTGAGATTGTGCCCGGAGGACGGTAGCTCGCCGTCGAGTGACGTGAGCTCGTTAGAATTAATGAACAACCACTCCAGTTGATTCAGATCTCTGCAAGCAATACGTGCGAGAGTAGGCACGTGGCTGAATCCACCAACGGAACGGAACAAGGCGGGATGGGGGAGGGGGACGGAGGGGGCAGGAAAACCCTGTTACATGCACGTTCATGCAAAATGCAGGGCTGTTTCTCTCTCCCTCTTCGCGCAGACAGAAACCGACAGAGGAAGAGAGGGAGAGTAAGAGAGAGAGAGAGAGAGAGAGAGAGAGAGAGAGAGAGAGAGAGAGAGAGAGAGAGAGAGAGAGAGAGAGAGAGAGAGAGAGAGAGAGAGAGAGAGAGAGAGAGAGAGAGAGAGAGAGAGAGAGGGATAGGGAGAGACAGAGACAGAGAGAGAGAGAGAGAGAGAGAGAGAGAGAGAGAGAGAGAAAGAGAGAAAGAGGGAGTGATTCCATTTCGTCGGGTCGGCCTTAAGAGAGTCCAGAGTTTCAGCGATCGGTCGACCCACGCGGGTTTCCCTCAGTCAGCGATTCGCGCGCGTGTCACCGCGGGCCGCTTCGCGTTGCCTCGCGGGATGATGTCAACGGAGCGAGTTCGATAAGAGATACTGCTAGACGATAGTAAACAGCAACATGTACGTACGTAAGTGGAAACCGTCGTGAGAGATAGTTCCGCGAATCCTCCGCTGGGATTTGCGAAGTTACCGCGTGGGAGTGAGGAGGAGGAGGAGGAGGAGGAGGAGGAGGAGGAGGAGGAGGAGGAGGAGGAGGAGGAGGAAGAGGAGGCGGTGGCGGCGGGAGGGAGGGAGGAAGGGAGGGAGCGAGGGAGGAGAGCGGCGATCGTACCTCAGGGTGCGATTCAGGCTGTTGAGATGATTTCTGCCGACGTGCAGGTGCTTCACCAGCGGCGGCAACGAGCCTGGGGCCATCTCGATGATCGCGTTCCCCGCCATTGACAAATGCTGCAGCATCGGATTGTACTGGAACACAGAAAAGAATTCATCATGGCGTCATGTGAATCTCGCACAGCTGCCCCCCCCCTCCGCACCCGCCCGTGTGTACTCTTCCCCGAAATTCGCAAAAGTCGTAGTCTTTCTTCGCTCTCGGTAAATCAGTAAAGCCGATCGAAAAGGGAAGTTGAAAATCGCATTCCTGCGCACGAGAACTTGTTCCTTCTGCCGGTAGAAAAGAAAATTGTTCGCGTTTACTCTCCCGGCGCAATGACAACGTCACGTCCAAGTTGCGCAGCAGGCGTGTTGATTAGCGGATGACTCAGACTTTTTTCGCCGGTGATCTGAAACGCGAAAACTCTGGACCACATAGCATGCACAGTAAGCATTTCCGGCACGTGGCTGATCGCGTGCGCCGCATCTCTCGTTTCAACGTCCTCGCGCGTCAACGCGACCTCGCGCGAGTTCTCTCCCGCCGTCTCGCGGTCTCGCGCGCACACGAGATCTCTCTCTCGAGTGCTGTAGCTCTGGAGCATCCGAGCCACCCGCGGCAGGATCCTCACCTTGAAGTCATCCGAATCGATGCGACTGATCCGGTTCCTGCTGAGGTCCAGGGTCATCAGGAGCGACATGTGCGACAGGATGTGCCGCGGTACCGACGGCACCTCGTTGTCCGCCAGGCTCAGATACAGCGTCCGTTCCATACCGGTGAAAACGTCGCCATCCACGAGCCTGCAAATTATCGTACCTTTCGCGATTGTCTGGAGAGGAGGGGGTGCTGGAGAACTCGTGCAAGAAGTTACGTATTAACTCGTACGTGTACGATAACGGCTTACGCATACAAAATTTCGTCGAGAAAGGAAAGAGAGAGAGAAGAGGGGGGAAGAGGGATACTTTTGATCGACAGCGTCTGACATTTCACAATTTCACACATTACTTGCTACTATGTTGCAGCGTTGTTTATCGCTCGTGTAATAATAAGCAACCGGGAGCTCTGGAGCCGGAGACGGTGCCGGGCCAATGCCGTCGAAAAAGCGGCGACGCGCCAGTCGTTATCGTTCGATTATTCACTTATAACGTTGGCTCACTGCGCCTCGTTATTTAATTATTCCACGACGATAAACAACGCGCGCGGCTCGCCGATAACTCACGCGAAGAGGTCAGGCACGATTAAGATTTCATTCTTGCTCCCTTCTCCCCCGTCGCGCCTCCCTTCCCTTCCCATCTCTCCCGCCGCGGCCGTCTCGCGCGCGCGAGGATGCTCGGCGTAGCTGAAGAGGAGACGTATACCTCTCCTCAAGGACCGTCTGTTTCTCGCTTCTCTCGCGGCGCGACACGCGCGCCATAGGATCATCAAGGAAGACCGGTAGCTGGTCCTTTGTGTTGTCACTCTCGTAAAGGACGACGGCCACCGGACGGACGTTATTCCGAGGGAAGATAATGACACACCGGTGCACGACGCCAAGGAAACACGAAATCGTCCCGCGCCGCGCCGGCGACGGCGACGGCGATGACGACGACGAAGCCGGCGAATTCTCCACGGGCCGATTTTTCTACGGGAGCACCGAGACGATTTATCGCGGTTCATTCAACCGGGGTGTTTCTCTCTCTCTCTCTCTCTCTCTCTCTCTCTCTCTCTCCCCCTTCCTCCCTCTCTTCCCCGCTCCTTCTCTCTCTCTCTCTCTCTCTCTTTCTCTCTCTCTCTCTCTATGACAGTTATCGTTGCGCAACTGGTATCTCCAGTCTCCTGACGCGATATCCTGCTTCCGATCGTCGCGCGCGATAACATTTAACGTCACCGGCCACGTTCTCGTGGTGACGTACGTATACGCGGCGGTGGCCGGAATGCGCGTTGCGAAATTCGTCTACGGTACATTACAAGTACGTGCGCGAGAGAGCCGGGCGAGAGAGCGGGCGCTGCTGTACGTATCATTGTTATCGCGTTACCTAATAACGTCGGGCGCCACGGAAACGTACAAAAAAATATACTCTCTCTCGCGCGCTGGCAGATACCGACGCTATTATCGAGCATGTTCTCGGCAACGAGCCGGGGCCGCTACGAACGGTCTCGTCGGCGGTTAACGCGGCTTTGCGAGCGACGATCAACCGTGAGACTTCGACGCTGAGATCTCTCGCAGCCGTTCTTCGCATACCCGGCCTCCGTGTCCCTCCCCGTCGCTCGTTCCCTTCGAGTCTGCGTCTCCTCCGGGCTGCTCCATTCTGCACGTATGTTCAAGTATGCCCTCTTGATTCCGAGTTCCGGTTTTCTCGTCACGAGCGTCACACGTGTACGTAACGTTGAGCTCCAGCCTGAGAGAGCTCCAGCTCCTCCAGAAAGGGGTGCGCATTCAGCGTCCTCGATACGCGTCCAGAATACGAGCCCGTTCCTCGCGCCGCCGGTCGTCGCAGGCGAGCGCGCTACACGCCGCGGACGCCTTCGCAAATACTCGTTATGAGAATTAAGATCGCTTCTTTGTTGTACATGTACAAACGTCTCCATTCAATGTCCGCAATAGCAGACGATGACCTTTTGCAAAGATACCGGCCGCCGCCAGTATCGACGTGTATGGCACACTTACAGACGGACTATATACGCGACGGAGTACACGCTGGGCTACACGAATGACGGAGGCGGCGCGCGGCCTCGGCCTCCTGCTCTTCTGGCCGTTTTCGTCGCCGTGAGCGACTCGTCTGTCGACGATCGCGTCGTTTTCGGTCACTCGCGGCCGCCGCCGTCGTCTCGCGGATTAGCGATTGGACGTGTCGTCGCGGAGCGCGCGCGCGCGCTCGATAAGATTGAAAGGGGTGAGGACGAGGAGCCGTTTATCGCGTTTTAGAAGCGGTGCGAAGTCCTCGATAGGTATCTTGTAACATGCGCGGTGTAGTAACCGTGGTCGGCGACTTTTTCTATTTTTTCTCTCTCTCTCTCTCCTTTTGGCTCTTTCTCTTTCTCTCCCTCTCTATCGCGAGTCTCGTGATTTTCCTCGCCGGCCCGCACCAGCGCGCTTCGCTCGTCAAGCGGGCCATCCGCGCGTCGCGCATTACTCAAGTTTACAGTCCGAATTGTTCCCCGGCCAGTTAACCGTGGTTAAGGTGGAAATTCACATTTGGCAGTTGTGCAGAATGTAGGTAGAATCAGATTCAAGAGTGGTTGGCGGAGATGGAAAAGTGATTCGCAGCGAGGAAGTCGTGTAGTTTCATTTGGGGATTATAGTCGTTGCTACTTCGTTTACATTGCTCGAACAGTATCCGATGTATACTATAAACATATTCGAAACGCTTCGCTTTGTACACGTCCAAGTTTACATTCGCACAGAAATTATAAACTCATGTGTTAACAAAAGGTTGGAACTGAACTTTCAAAGAGATGTATGACTTTTAAACGGACTAAACGTTGAAGATCTATATAGAGGACACTGACGAGCGACATTTGATTTGGATCAAGAATTACGTCCTTAAGCACTTACCGAGACGCGTTAACCGGTATGTTCTTCAAACTTTTTGTGTCAATAACGTTTCAATAAACAAACAGCGACGGTTGAAATCTCTCGAAAGTTACGCAGGGTCATGACTCTAACAACGTGTCTCAAGGTCGTTAAAGTCGATTTAACGGCTCGATTTAACCCGGAATAAAGACCGACCTTATTCTGCGTAATTACCATATAATTATACAGAGTACACAATCAACGAGTAAAAAATTAATTTATCAAGTCGACTGAGACGAGACGCGATGTCGAGGTAGACTCTCGACACCCGACCGCCAAGGGTTGACAACAATTTCTCGGGTCGGTTCTCATCCTCGTGCCGAAGCGGAACGGAGAACGCGCCGCGGCGGGTCTCGCACTCACCCTAGATTGTCGTGGTTCAAGTACAGCCGGGTGATGGACATGTTCAGCTCCTTGAAGTCGTGTTGCGATATATCCCGTAGGCTCGAATGCGTCACCCGCAGGCTGATCTGCTGCTCGGGGGTGAATTTGCCGCGTAACGCCTCGGACACGTCATTAAACGACATCATCTTCTCGCACCACACCTCGATACGTCCTCTATGGTGGCCACCGCCACTGCCGCCGCCGCCACCGCCGCCACCGCCGCCGCCACTTCCGCCGCTGCCACCTCCGATCGCGGCATTGTTGTTCGCGTTGGCAGTCGCGGCCACCGGCTGCATCGAGTTGATAACGGGACTGGCATACTCCTCTTGTCGGCAGGTGCACGGGCTGATCTCGGGGCGCACGCTGCAGTGGAGGCTCGCGAGGCCCAGCAAGGTGTAGACTACGCTGGACATAGCCGTCACTCGACGTCGGAAGAACCGACTCGAAGGGCGATCGACGCGATTATTGGGTTGATTATTAGCCACGATCGCGCGACAGGCTGCCACACGACGTCGAGGGGTTTCGTGAACCGCGGCGAGCCAACCGCGCGCACCCTCTTGCGCGCAAAGCCCTCTCCCGAGTGCGTGTCCTCCTCTTCTTCCTCCTCCTCCTCCTCCTCCTCCTCCTCTTCCTTCTTCTCCACCTCCACCTCCACCTCCTCCTCCTCCTCGTTGACGCTGTGTATACACGATACGCAGGAGCCTACGCGCAAAAGGTCTACAGTAGAGAATCCACGAATCAGCAGCGACCGTACGTTCGTTAACAACACGCGATAACGTTGCCGATGATATGATGTCGCATAGCGCAATCAGGGGACGAATGCGGAGCCACCACCGTCGTCGTAGTCGTCTCTATAGTCTCGTCGCCGCCGCGTTACGCGTGTATTACTCCGTTCGGACACCACCGCTACACACCCGATCCACACTGATCACTGGCAGGAACTGACACAGCGGAGGAGCGCGCGCGTTCAGGCACCAGCAACGACTGACAGCCACGTGTTATCTGCACTGTTGCTCATCCACACCATCCTACGGAATATAAGTTCACCGCCTCCCTCTCCCTTTTGCTCCCTCTTTCTTACTCTCTCTCTCTCTCTCTCTCTCTCTCTCTCTCGCTCTTTTGCTCTCGTTCGTGTTCGCTCTCTCCTCTTCTTCGTGCCGTACGTATCGGACGCGAAAGGGGCTTATCGTCGCCAATGGGCCTTCCTCTTGGCGCCACGGACGCGGCGACGGCATTAAGCCGCGGCGCGCCGCGCGAGACTTACTTATAGTCGCAATGTCTCGTCGGGGGTACCGTGGCGCCGCTCGCCTTCGGCAGGCGCGACTCCTCCGGCTCTTCTTACGACTCCCCGTCGTACGTTACGCGTACATCGAGAGCCAGGAGCTCGTCTTCTTTTTCTTACACAGCGGCGTACTCCTCGTGAGCGAGCGAGCGGGCGGACGGACGAAGGAACGGCCCGAAGTCGTCGTTCCTCGCTCCCTCTGCGCGCACCACACCCCACTGTGCGTATTCTCGTTCCCTCGTCCCCCTTTTCAGCCCGCTCTTGTTCACCTCGTGAACCTACCTATCCACTCGTTGCTCCTCGTATTCTTGCCGTGCACCAACGGGCCACTCTTCTCTCTCTCTTCCTCCTCCGCCTCTCTCTCTCTCTCTCTCTCTCTCTCTCTCTCTCTCTCTCTCTCTCTCTCTCTCTCTCTCTCTCTCTCTCTCTCTCTCTTGCCTCCCTCGCCTATCGTGCTTAACCGACCTGGTCCCCCCGTGTCGCCGTCGCCTCACTGGCGTTTATCTCTTCTTCTTAATCGCTTATCCGATTATCGCGGAAGTTTCGAGGCGCAAGCGAGAGGTCCCTCATCTCACCTCTCTCGAGACTCGAACGGAGGAGGAAGGGTCGAAAAGCGCGAGGAGTGAGTTTCACACAGCAGCGGCAGCAATAGACACTACAAGCGGAAGATTCATCAACCTCCCTCCCCCTCCTCGCAGTCTTTCTCTCTCCTTAGTCGTCTCTCCATCGCGCTGCACACGCCAGCAGGCGGTGTTTGCACCGATAAGAGCGGACCGATTGCTCAACTTTTGACCTTTGCTTAACCGCTTCGCACGGTGCGCGACGTATGAAAGAAAATATGTCAGATAACTCTCTTGTGGTCTCTTTTCTATTCTCTCTCTTTCTCCTTCTGTTTCTCCCCCTAATGGCTTTCCTTCCTCTTTCCATTGCCATTGGTTCCCGGCTGCTGACCGGGCCGTAAACGCTGCTCCATCACCGACGTTTCGTGACGATAACGGCTGCGTCTCCTCGTCACACGGTCCCCCTCGTCCCTTCGTCTCTCTATCTGGCTAGTCGACTAGTCGTAAGTTGTAAACTTGAATCGAGTTGATATGCGAAAAATATTTCTTCGAGGCGTATTCTCTCATGAGGGACAGACCAGAGAGGGAGAGGGAGAGGGAGAGAGAGAGAGAGAGAGAGAGAGAGAGAGAGAGAGAAAGAGAGAGAGAGAAAGAGAGAGAGAGAGAGAAAGAAAGAGAGAGAGAGAGAGAGAGAGAGTTCCCGTCCGCGTGGCGGGGAACGTGCGCCCTGATCCGACATGTCCAAGGACTCGAATTTGCTCTGAAATAATCGAAGGCTTCGGTTATATATATATATATATATATATATAAGGAGAATTAAGGTCGTAATCTTCGAGCCCTTACACTACCGCGCGTATGATTACGAGGACATTACCGCAGATTACGAGGACATATTCTCCGCCGACGTGGAAAATGTGCACGCGAAACTCACGCGTTTACTTGCTGATCGCCGAGAATCTCGACAGGTGTTACCGACGATTCCATTTTCTCGCCGTGCTCTCCGAAAGCTGGATCGTACGTGCGGTTGCGCGTCGGGGAGTGCACGAGGCAGATACACGAATTTCTCTGGAATGCTGGTCTGTACGGAACGGACCGAGAGATATAGTCGTTGTTATCGTTGTCGCCGCATTTACGGCTCGACCGATTCATCATCGAGGGCGATGATTAAGAATGGCGTCGTGAATTCGAACGAGTGTCTTTCTCCCTCCCTCTCTCTCTCTCCCTCTCTCTCTCTTTCTCTCATTCTCTCTCCTCGCGCATCCAGGCGCATTTTCGACGAGTGATTTATGTAAAAACGGGTGCCCCAAGTAGCTCGGTAGCTTTTGTCGCGGACACACCCTCCTTTTTTGTCGCTTTTCGATCGGCCAAGGGGGACAGAAACCGGTATCATTTCGTCGACTTAAATTTTCGATTCCTCGCGCACGAGGAATAAGAAAAAAAGAGAGAATGAGATAGAGAAAGAGAGAGAGAGAGAGAGAGAGAGAGAAATTCGTTTTCTCATCGTGCTTGGAGTTCGCCATTTAATCATCGCGAGTAAACGTTGAAATTATTACGAAACGCAGCGCCGGGTTGCATATGCTTGGCTTAGCATTTACGAAATAAATCGTAGCTAACTTCCATTCTTTTTCCCTCCCTGCTCTTCCTCCCCTCGTTTCATCGGAGGAAGAGCAGCGCAAGAAACGCGCGGCACGTTTCGTCCGTTACAAATTGGCGAGATAAATTTCCAACTTCTCGCGTACGTTAATCATCGCGAGACGACGGCGACCGGGACGCTAGTACGCGTGTCCGTAATGTCGAGATCGTAAGTGTTCTATCAAGGGTTTCTCTGTTCCACCGTAAAATAATATCGATTATTTAATGAGCTCGCCGATGCGGTGGCGGCGGCGGCGGCAGCGCTTCACGGGTCGCTTGTCATCCGAGTAAACGCCTCTATATAACGTGGATGTTTACGCGGGTGATTTACGCACTCATTTATGTGCCGTAACTCTCACCGAGAGGTATGTCGCGCAAATTCTCTCTCTCTCTCTCTCTCTTGCTCGCGCTCTCGATGCCACCGCGAGGGACTCGGCTCATATCCTCTTTAAGCTATTCCACATCGGTCACCGATGTATCTTACGTGCACTGGCGCCAGCAATTCGCCTAATCTTTCTCTCTCTCTCTCTCTTTCTCTCTCCGTCTCACTCGTTTTCTCTCTCTCTCTCTCTCTCTCTCTCCTCTCTCTCTCTGTCTCTCTCTCTCCTTCTCTCCTTCTTTCTCTTCCTCGACGTGAAGGGTCATCAAACCGCGGAACAACAGCAGACAAGATCGTTCCAATTTTTTCACACATATCACGAGCTCTCTCGAGGGAGAACTGAAATAGCGGACCAATTTTTATTTGATCAATCGTCGTTGCGGTCTATTTTGTCTACTTGCCGATCGTGTAATCACGATTACAAAAACTGGAGTGTACCGAAGGATCAAGAGATAAGAAAGAGATGGAGTGAGGAGAGAGCGATTTTTCATTGTCCTCTTATCGCTTATTATCGTTCTTATTAATTGCCATGAACAGAGTGATACGACAGCAAGGGAGGGTCCAAGGGTCGAGAGAGATGCTAGGCAGACTGACAGGTAGGCAGGCAGCTAGGCAGGCAGGCAGGCAGGCAGGCAGGCAGGCAGGCAGGCAGGCAGGCAGGCAGGCAGGCAGGCAGGCAGGCAGGCAGGCAGGCAGGCAGGCAGGCAGGCAGGCAGGCAGGCAGGCGAGAAGCAAGGGCACGAGGCACGAGGCACGAGATACGCGGACGAGGGGCCTAACTCCGCGTCTCGGTTAACGAATGCGAGAATGCGGCCTGGCGCCAACGCACACGCGGCCGCCGCGCCAGCCCGCCGGCCGCCCTCGGAGGAGGCCGCGTCACACGCTCTCGCCTCTCTCGCTCCTTCCTCTCTCCTTCTTTCTGTGTTTAATGACCTTACCGGAGTTCAAAATACTAAACTGCAACCGATCCTCCGATTCGTGCGTCCGCCTCGCGCCTCCGGCTCGGGGACACGGCCTGCGGCGAGCACGCAGGGTCCCGTAACGCGCGGCCGCGGCCGCGGCCGCAGGATGTTGGCGGTTCTGAAAAAGGAAAGAGCAAATTGAAGAGAAAAAGAAGAACGATGAGTCGAGAGAATGTCGAGTAAAGTTTTCTTTACTCGACATTCACGGGAGTGAGCCTTCTTTTCCTCCTCCTTCCTTTTTCTTCTGCTCCTTTTCTTTCCTCCGAGAGAACGACTTCGAGAATCGCGGGATCGATAGCGTCTTCCCGCTTTCTCTCGGATGATGATCTTCGGCGGGCGTCGTCGCGCGAGTACGTCGCCTATTGTCGCGCGCGACTCATTCTTTCTCCCCCGTCTTCCTCCTCGGCGCCGGCATAGGTAATATCGTCTTTCTCTCTCTCTCTCTCTCTCTCTCTCTCAGCGGAGCACCGCATAGCTCCGAGGTATGCGGGCGAGTTCTTCCTTTTCTTATCGAGAAAAAGGAACGGAGCCGAGGAAGAGAAGAGCGGTGGAGAAGAGCGGGAGGACTGCAGCGGAGAGTGGAAGCAGAGCGAGGAAGGTAGCGGAGCGGGCTCGAGGAGTATATACACACACGATACAGGCGTTTTACACGCTGCATTGAGATATTGGGAGATAATCGGCCGGCGTGGGCGTTGAGGACGCGTGCACGCAGCTGCTTGGATCTCTTATTCCTCGGCGACCGATGTAGCGACCGTTAGACGCGAGACGGCGAGGCGATTTAAAAAGAGAGCGTTGTCACAGGTCTCTTCCGAAGCCACTACTTCTCACGCACACATACATACGTATGATGATAAATCGAACGACACAACATACCTGAAATTCTGCTCCGGATACAAAACGAACGTTGAGCAATGCTCCTTTGATCCCAAGTTTCGTTTCTCTCGCACGAGCGTCACGTACAGCGTTGTTTCGGTTTGCGTTCATTTCACGTTCAATACGTGTCCAAAATGGCCTGCAAACTTGAATATACGAGTAAACGTGTCAACATGTGGCGACGGTACGAGCAGCTAGTATCGATCAAAGTCGAAAATTCGATCCTAGCCCTTCGTGTTGCAACATAATGTGTGTCCCTAAGGGCAGGTTGTCACAATTCTTTGGTAAGTTAACCGATAATTAAATCACACGTCTGTCTTCGTAATCTTAAATTGAAGGAAAAACAACGGTGAACGTATGATTTAACTATCAGTTAACTTACCAAGAAGTTGGGACAACCGGCCCTAAATTAAACAATTGTACACACAGTGGCGTGTGATTCTTTGTCGTAAAAATAAATAAATAAATCACGCGGTCAGCCCTCTTTCTGCCTCTCCTCCTAACTTTATTCCTCCTCTTGCTCATATTGGCGCGCCCTTGCGGACGATTTACGATCCGTGCTAATGCGTCGAAGAGGAATTCGAGCCACGGGCGCCATTGATCTTGCTTTCCCGTTCTTTCGCCGAGGGAGGAATTTCTCCGGGAGCGTGCGCGGCGGTTGTTGCGTTAAAATCGTGCGTGTTGTAAGAGGGAACGGTGCGTGTTCGCCTCCGCTTTTTCACGCTTCTGGCATCTGGCCCCTTTCTCTCCGCTCTCTCGCGTTCCCTCTCCCTCCCCCCGGCCCTCTCTCTCTCTCTCTCTTTTCGTTCGTTCCTCCTGTTTATGCGGCGCCGCGTCGCGTGGTTGACTGCGAAAGGGGTAAAAGGAGCTGCACGAGAGAGGAGCAAGGGAGCAAGAGGGAGCGAAGCGCATACTGGCGATCTAAATCTAGACGGACGTCGTTTAAGGACGCCGCATCGTTTACCGTGTCGTATCCGTGGCGTGTTGTGTCGTGTCGTATCGTGCCGTGGCGTGTCGCCGCGAGTTTGGGCAGCTTTTCACCGCTCCTAAATTGGACCACAATGTAACACACCCAGCATACGTCGGTGACTCTTCTGCTTCGGCGTGAGCGGTATTCGCCGTTTTCTCGTCCTCTTTATCTTCGCTGTTTTACTGAAACATTAACGGTCGTTAGGCGAAGAAAAATGAAGGTCCCGCGGGAAAACAGGAAGAGCGCTCCACTACGGAACGTTGATTCACGCGCGACCCGCTGTGAACTTTTCGCGATGTGCGATTTTGTATTTCCTCTTTTTGCGCGTTTGCCCTCCTCTCTCCACCCTTTTCCCAAATAACATTTAGATACGAGACACAAGTAGAACACCCGCAGAATGCACGTATACCCGCATTGTTGCAACGTAGAGATTTCACGTTTTGCTGGTCTCGAGAGGGGTGTGTATCTTCTCGCGTTCGAATCGTCGCGCGAACACACACACTCTCTCTCTCTCTCTCTCTCTCTCTCTCTCTCGCAACTCGGAGTCCACTAAGGTATCGGCACGATAACGTTGAGAGCCTCTGACGAGTGTGTTTACGATGGGATTTAAAGCCGGCTGGCTCTCGCCCGGCTCGCGTAGTCCCCTTTCTGCGCAGCCACGAATCCTCGAACTTTTCATTTCTATCGCTCTTATTGGCCACCTTTTTTTCTCGAGGGATACTCTCGGATGCGGCGGCGGCGGCGGTTCGGCGCGTCGATCTATCTGTCGTCGAGTTGTGAAGTATAAGACGAACGACTCTGCCAGCAAGCATCACTTCCTGCATACAATACCGAAACATCGTTAACATTTCTTTACCTCTCGCCCTCGAGTTCGCACGAGCTACCCTTCAAATGAGACGCGATGGTTGCGTTGAAAGTCGGCAAGCGCAACGCCGACTTTGTCATGTCGGATGCATCGCATTACGAGTGATAAATTTGATGTACGACGAACCTACTTGATAACTTTGTAATTTTATAGTCTTTCTCTCGTCGTTTCCTGCCGCCATCATGATTTTCCGCTGTTCCGCTCAGGGTGCTCGCGATTAAGTGCACCGGAACGCGTTTTTTGTACTTTCAACGTTCGTTCAACGCAGGATTTCGAAATAAAGCTTTCTTGGAGCGGAGGATCTCAAAGCCTTTACCTGTCCGTCTACCCCCGTTCTCGATGAGAACGCGAACGGTGATGATGAAGTGACGACAAATGCCTCGTCGACGACGCGTAAGACAATGCTGAGGTGATTTTCTCGGACTAATTCGATCATAACGTCCACTCACCTTCGTGAGTTTCGAAGTCTTCCGCCATCTTTGATGATCTCGTGTCGATGCGCCTGTCGGACACTCAGCATTCGCGCGCGGCTCGACACGCGTTTTCCGCGTCGTACTGCCATCTGTCGGCGTCTCGACGAAACACTCGCTGCTCGTCACGACGCTGTCGCGACGGCGCGACAGCCTGGCGATGTGGGGATTGTCGTCGCCGGTGTATTGCCAGCACTCGCTGCATCGTTGATAAAGCGAATTCTGGGTAAGACAAACGTGTATAGCGTGTCCTCTCTCGTCAAGTTCTCTCGTCATTGCGCGACATTGCACGACGTTGGTCGTAATGAGATTTGCGGTGGAGAAGAGGTAACGCCGAGGATCGAGATCGACACGAACGAGATGAGTAGTGCGGTACAGTGAAAGAGGGAGGGCGGAGTTTTGGTGGATCGCGACTTGGTGGTTTCGTCTCGTCGGGTTCGCATCGACATACGTAACACACATACACACACACATACGCGCGCGCGCGCGCGTCACGTTCCACACACACACACACACGCGCGCGCCTTCTCCTCCCCACGCTCTCTCGGCCGTGCGCGACGAACGGTGTTCACGAACGTGCGCCTCGCGTTCTCTTCACGGTCGGTTTCGGTTCGGGACGTCGAAGGCGTGTTCGTTGACGACTGTGTGCATCCTCGTTACATCAGGGCTACTTCCTCGTCGTTGCGCGGCCTACCCGAGCGCGAGACACGAGAACGTGACTCTTCGTCAGCGCTTTCTCGCTCGCCCTCGCTCTCCCGCTCTGCGTCACGCGCTCGCGATCGCCGATCCCGAAATTTCCACGTCGAGCCTGCGAGGACTCGTACACGCCGACCATGATCGATCTAACAGTGAAGACCTTGGATTCGCAGAATCACGTCTTCTCCTTGGAGGACGACGTAAGTGACCGCCTCATTCGATCGTTCGTTGTACACGTAAATCGACGCTGCGCCTCGCGTTAATTATATACTCCCCATCACGAGTCCCCCGGCACATGTGTGTCGTGTCTTTTGCAATGGACACGGACACAAGCCACGTTCTCTGTGTGCCGAGAGCACGGCTACGTGCGACTCTCTCTCTCTCTCTCTCTCTCTCTCTCTCTCTCTCTCTCTCTCTCTCTCTCTCTCTCTCTCTCTCTCTCTCTCTCTCTCTCTCTCTCTCTCTCTCTCTCTCTCTCTCTCTCTCTCTCTCTCTCTCTCTCTTTCTCCCCCTTCTCTCTCTCTCTCTTTCTTTCTTTCTTCTCTTTCTCTCTTTATCGTTCATCCATGAAACTTCGAGCGCGTAGCAGTATGATTCTTTTTCACTCTCTCACGCTCCGGAGCGTGTCACTCTTACGTGTTAGGTCTATTATACTACAACTGTTCAATTCTCTTTAAAGCAAATCACAGTCCGCGGCTTTAAAGAGTACATAGCAGAATCTGTAGCGGTACCAGCCGATTCGCAGAGATTGATTTATTGCGGACGAGTGCTTCAAGATGAAAAGAAATTAAATGATTATGGTACATATGCACCTATAATACCTACGTATATTAATATGGAGTACAAAGTAGCTGTCGTCGCGAGTACGGCGCGACGTGACTCGATGTGCAGTACGCGATACACAATGTCTGATTCTTCAGATGTCAACGGGAAGGTGCTGCATCTGGTGCAACGCGCACCGCCACAGCATGGCCAACGGGGAAACGACAGCGGGCAGCAGGCGCAAGGGCAGAACAACAGGCAGCAGCAGCAGCAGCAGCAGCGATCTCATTATCGTCTCACGCGCGCCCAGATGCACGGAAATGCCATGTACCTGGGTGCCATGTCAGTGCCTGCCGAGTTTGTGGAGGGTCATGGTAAAATGAATTCAGTTTGCCAATAGCGACCGGCGTCGCTCATTGGCTGCGTTCAGAAGAACAAAATGATGAGTGAGCGCTTAGTGATTCTTGCTCCTGATTGATAAATACTTCTGGGTCTATGAAGAATTTAAAAGAATGCTCCGATCACAGACAATCACTGAGCGCTCACTGATCACTTTGTTCTGCCGAACGCAGCCATTCTTATTATTAACGTGAGTGTTGTGCATGTCTCTTGCAGGAATCCCACAGTTGAGTAACAGTTTATCAGGTAGTCGCCTGACTCATGCTGGCCGTATGCTCGATCGTATAAACGAGCTGATCGACAGACTTGACGATCCAAATGCTCCACTGCATCCCACACCGTCCGAAATGTCGGACTATGCGCAGGCTCCAGTGCAACAGCATCAGCAGCTGATCGCACAGGAGGCCGACGTGGAGCCGGACGAGTGAGTTGCCAGACGTTAACTCTCTATCAGACTAGATGTCGGAGACTGGGAGTCGCGTATTGGAGATTGGAATTTGACTAATCAGCTCAGAGAAAGCCAGGATCGAATGTTATTGACACATCAAACTTTAATCTCAAATTCGCAGCCTCCAACGCAGTCTAAATGCGTCTAAATGCGATTGTGACCATGAGAGAGGGGAGGATATCCTTATGTTGTTGTCACGAGCTTCCGCTTTATTCCTTATCATGTTCTCAGGAATGCCGACGTCGCACGAGCCGACGGTAGCGCCAGAATTGCTGAGGCAGCCGCAGCTGCTATCACGGCCGCTTTATCTGCTGCTGGTGCACGCGCTGTTACGCTGTTCCGAGGTAAGTGCGTTCACGGGTTCATCAGCTCGAGGAAAACGTTCATAGTCCAAGTTTACGTTTAAACTCGTCTTAACTTCATCTTGAGATAAAGGTAAAAAGCTGCCTCATTAGCTGCATTGGATGCATCTTAAAACGATTTGGAAGCAATTTTAGATAAAAGATTGAATTATGAATGTCGTTCTAAATTAATTTAAATACACACGTCTTGCTAAATATATCGCAACATTGTCGCATACATTATATCGAATCCTGATGATACATAGGTGGCAATTACAATGGTGCAGAAGGAAGAACTGCAACCAGCGATGTGACTGATAATCAAAGTGACTCGCAGGCACAGTCGCAGCAACAGCAGCAGCAGCAGCAGCAACAACAGCAACAACAACAACCACCACCACCACCACCACCTCCACCACCACCATCACAACCACAACAAGCGCAAGCAACGATGGAGCAGTCGGGAGCTACGTCGAGCAACGCTGGACAAAATAGACGAGCTCAACAGCAAGAGTATTTATCATGATTTACGAGTCTTACGTGTGAAACAGCGCAAACAGATAATCGTTTAACCTTCAGAGGCAGAGAATTTTAACGATTTTCCAATGCACCTTACAATGTACAATTATATGCCGTGTGACATATTAGAGAATGTGTGAGAAGAAACAGCACGTCATTGTGGAGCCTAAAAATAAGCGCGCCAGCCTCTAAAGGTTAAATTTTCTCGTGAGATATTTCTAGGATGCATCATATATGCAAGGACGACTCCGTAAGTCCTCCTCCTCCTCCTCTTCCTGTACACGTTTAATCGCTTCATTTCACTCGCAGCCTTCCACGACCGCCGCAAATGGGTGACCTATTGCACAGACTATACAGTACTCAAGATCGTCTAAGACCATACTTGGAGCGTTACTGCGTGCTCACGACGATCGATCCCTCGTTACCACCCGGGGTAAGTCGATAAGGTGTTTCCGACACCGCAATGTGCACCATCTCGTTACTACCGAGGCTGACTGATTGCTTATTTAGTCGGGACCGAACACCGTAGAGGAGAGTCAGCGTATAGTGGACGGAGTCAGCGAGATCTTACACTACATGTCGCACACTTGCCACGCGCTCAGCGATATTATCATCGACATGAGCCAACCGCCACCGAGGAACCTGCGTTGCAGACCTATAATAGTGCAGCACTCTGCCATCTTACAACCTGGTATACCGATCCAAGTCGAGGTGAGCATATCGCTTCGATATATACATACAGTATGTGCATACACATGTGCATTCTCGATATCGATAGCAGTCGACTCGCCGATACGAATGCTATCAGTCCCATACAGCCCGTTGACGCAGCCCATCACTATCTCGTTGCAGGCTCATATCAGTCTGAACGGTCGTGGCGTTAACAACAACAACAGTAACGACGAGACGGCCGAAGCCGGCAATCAGCAGGCGCAGTCAGACAACAACTCAGAATCATCTAATGCATCGCGTGTCCACACCGAGGAGAGTGGCCAGGAACGAGAGTCAGACGGCACGACGCAGTCGCAAACGGAACGGCCGCAACAGGAGCAAGGCCAATCTCCCTTCGGTGCGTTTTGCATTGCGACACGCTCGTCGCGCTAACTACCGTGTGTGTTTGTCGAAGAACAAACCTTACCGTTTCAGTTACAGTGTTCAATTTACCAAACAACGTGGAGGTACTGATGGAAGTCAGTTCTGAGAGCAATATAGACGACGGAGCGAACAATGAACAGAATACCGCGGGCGAGAGCAACAATGGCGGCAACACTCGTGAGTGAATCGTGTCACGTGCCTAGGACAGCAAAATGCGAAAGACACATGATTGTTACTAGTGTAGCACGATCTCTTTTACTTGGCAGGCAGAACAGGCGTGTTTCCGTTCGGTCCGGCTCCGCCGCCGTATTTCATGCGGAATTTCATGCAGGCCGTCGCCGGACACATGGTGCATGGTGGTTTCGGTGCCACGACGATAAGTACGTCGCGGAGTCCACCCACCACTACTTTGTCTCAAAGTGCTCCTGCATCGATGGACAGCGGAAATGCGAATTCCGGCCAAAGCACTCAAGCACGGTATTGTCCTCGACCGTGTTGTTTATTCATGTCGAGTTGACTCTGAAGTCTTTCTCATAGAATACACATTTTGTTTTTGTCGGCGTTTGATTTTCATTTCGAGAATGATTCGTCATGCGACATCTTCGTTGTGTCGATCAACACTCGCTCATTAAAACTCCTTCGGTCTCTATAGGAAGGCTTGAGTCAATTCAATCAATATCATAATTAATCATCAATGTACAATATATATTCCATTACACGCACATCATAATGACAAAATACTGAACTTCTCCGATCAAAAACATTGCGTGCAGGAGCAACGTCGGTACTCATCCTACCACCGCGACGCAAACTCGAAGTACATCGCGGCCTCATGTGTTTCATCACCATGCACATCCCGTCGGCCTTGGCATGAGTATTGGTCTCGGACTTGATTTTGATCCATATCTACCGTGCAACTCTCACCACGTGTATCGTACACCGACCAGCACACCGAGCACTAACTCAAACGGCGGCGTGACGACCTCTCAAACGACGCGCACAACAACAGTAACAACGACCACAACAGTGACTGCGGACACTCCACCGAGTCAAGTACAAACTGGTAAGCGCATTGCCGACGAGCACGGACATTTCCTTGTCGCAGGGAAGAGTGAAGGGGAAAAGAAAGACTTGTATGTTTCGGCGTCTTACCTGCGTGCCAACTGAAACGGATGTCTTTCAGCAACAACTTCGACTTCGACCAGCGCCAGCACCACATCCACGACCGGGACGTCGACAACGAATGCGGGCTTGGGCAACAACCTTTTGGGGATCCTGTTGCAGCAGATGCTGGGGTCTGGTAACCGATTGCAGTCGAACATCAGCATCAACAGCAACGGTAATTGAGTCGTGAAAACACGCTGGACGATAACTGGATGATTTAACTGACCAATCCGCTTGTATTGCAGTTCCGGAGGGATTGGAGAACATAATGCAGATGCTCGGAAGTCGTAATATACATGTGGGATACGTGAACGACAGGTATATTCGATGTTGATAGAAGAAATCGCGGGGAACGGGGTAGAATTCTCGTGATTGTAAATGCACACGTCGTTAATTGCACCATTCTCTCTCTCTCTCTCTCTCTCTCTCTAACCAGAAACTCGATCGGTGAATTCACCTTGGCGGACGTGTTCGAGAGCGGTGGCCTGAACATGCAAGTTTCCACATCGCCGACGACCAGCAGAGAAGAGAACTTGCTCTTTGATCTCTTTGTATTGGGGGTAATTATGCTGCCGTGACGTAATGTCGCTACGGCTATCTGTACGCGGTCTTCAATCGGCGACAATATATCGAGTGCCTTCCATCTGGTAACGCGCCAGTCGGCAAAAGTATCGTTCTACCTTCGTCATTCATATGAGTGACAAATTGATGCTCATATCGATTTGCGTTACGAAATGGATAGCACTTCTTGAAAAGAGGAATCGTAAGACAATACGGCTGAAAAAAAATTACAGGCCCGAAACCTGACCCTGGACGGGATAGTAAGACTGAGCTTCGGTGAGTGGGAGCCCATCTCTCGTCTGCGTAGACCGATGCGGGATTTCCTGTGGCACGTGTACCCGAACGCTACGTCGCGGAACGCTCTTCAGGAGCAAGTGACTGAAAGCTTGCTCCCCCAGCTGCGACCGTATCTCCGAGAACTCCTGGCGTCCGAGGAAGAGGCCAGCGGCAGAAGCGACCCTCGCGTTGACATCTGCGCGACCATCGAGGCGTTGATTGCTCGCTACATCAAAGATATACTTAGAATCTTATTCGACATCAGTTAGTACTCAACGAGAATATCTCGACTATTCTTTGCGAGGTGTATTATCTTACATGTTATAATTGAATGTATGTGTGTGTGTGTGTGTGCAGCTTACGATGACGGGTGGTTCGCACAGGACACGTTGGACATAATGAAAAATCTGGGCAAGCAGTTATGCGCAGTGCTCCGGTATTCCATACAAGGCGGCCAAGCCGGATTGGAGGCGATTGTGTCTCGTTTCCTGGTTAGTTTCAACTTGTTTCAACTCAAACGCGACAAGGCGAGGAGATGACAAGAAGGAATTCACACAATGCTTCTGCAATTCATATGTCGCCAGAGTGATAGGTTGGATGAATCGCCGCCCGCGCTTCGTCAATGGCTACTGGACGGATTTATGGAACACTTCCGTGCCTATTCTCTGCGCGTGCCGCAACCTTCGGATTCGGAGATCGTCTCACTTTTGGTATACAAAGACTCCTCGTCTCAGCAGTCGTCGGTGCAGTCCTCTACTTCGGCTCGTCAGCCTACTCAGACGCCACCCGAAGACGAGGTAACTATCCTTCTCGATCTGTTTGTGCTGTTATGTATGTTTTAAATCTCGTGTAACATGTACGTGCAACTTGAACCGTGCTTAGCCGATGGAAACGGAGACTCTGGAGCAACGACCGACGCGCGAGAGTTCGACCGTAGCAGAGGACAGAGAGGAGATCCCGGAAACGTTCGCTGGACACGAATCCTTACCCTCGGTATGATACGACGCGATTACGAGCGGCGGCTAATATTTCACTTTGATCGCCCAACTCGAATTTTGCAAGTCGGTCTTTACGGAAAGAGAAACTCACTCGACTGATATCTCAAGTGAAACTCAACTGATATCTCATAATTCGACAAGTTCGGGAAATTTGTGGAAAAATTTTTCGACGCATACACACAGTTTAACGTTAAGTGCACTTAATGCCTGTTCCGTTTACCGAAAGCGCAACGTTCGATTAAAATACGAGTCGCATACCACTTTTAGGATTGGGTGCCGATTATCGCTCGCGACGGTGTGAGGCAACGTCGTCAGTTGCAGATGCAGGGCGTGACAAACAGCGGTGTGACTACGTTCAGCGACGCGTATCTCGGTGGATTACCAACCAAGCGGCGCAAGCTCATCGAGCAGCAGAAACCGCGCCTGCTAGTCAGCCCGACACCGAGTCACTCGACGATAGCGGCGTCCATGGAGCGACTGGTGCGGGAGGGAGTCGGGCGCGCCGGCGTCGAGGAGGTCGAAGGTGCCGCCGTGGCTGTCGCGGCGGATCCCGCTGTGAGACGCGCGTTCGGTCAAGCTATCAGGGACTGCTTGAATCCGTGCAGATACGGCACCGCGGACTTCCCGGACCCGCTGCGCTTCCCGAACGCGACCAAGTATTTCGCGGATCAAGAACGCCCGCCGAAATAATATAACACGTTCAGCAGCGAGGTATATGACACGGTTTAATCTAGAGATACAATAACAATAAAGAGAAAGTGGAGTAGAAGAAGAAGGGGGGTACATTAGGCTAATTCAATAACAAACAGACGACGGTTGTAGTCGCGTGAGCATCGACGCGCTAATTCTCGTGGAGGGGAAAGCTACTCGATTTCCTTCAATATTATAACAACGCCCAGGAAAGATACTTTCCCGAAGCCGAAGAATTAACAGAATAATCTCCGACGAGTATGTATGTGTGTGTGTGTGTGTATGTATGTGTGTATGTATGTATGTATGTATGTATGTATGTGCGCGTGCTGCTGTGTGTCGCGCGGCTATGTGCGTGAAACGTATGATCGGCACTGCGCGACACGCACCTACGTATTTTCCATATCCCTCCTCGATATCAATGTCCGCTTCGATAGAAAAAGAAAAAAAAAAGACACCGCTGCTACCACATGGGGTTACGTTTATAACCGATAATTAACGCACGGGGTGTTCGTGGGATCGAACTTCCCGCTCTCATTTTTACCAAGGGAAAGTCGACATCAATTTCGCCATCTCGGAATTGTATAGGACACCCTGTATATATATACACATATATATATATTATATATATATATACATAGGTGTAAAAATTGTTAACTGTGCACATATCTATTTATAATTTTTGCACTTACTGCAGCAAAAGCATCACTTTGTTCGCAGACTTGGTCTCTGTACTCGCGGGCTCTTCTCTTCTCTCCGTTTTATCTCTCGATATATAATTATCTACCCCCTTCTCTCACTTTCGTTTTCTCGAATTTTGGCCATTTCGAGTTGCAGCGTGTGTACGGATGGATGACTTCTGAATACATTAAAATAGGCTGAATTTAATCGTATACACACACTTCTTTTCGTAGAATCGCATTTGAGAGAACACGAGAGGGCACTTTATGTTAACGCGACGCTTGGTCAAAAAAGAGAAAAAAAAGCGACATGCGCGCACGTAAGAGCGTCACCGAAATCCTGTCGGATATTTTGTATAGACAATTAATTTTCGACGTCCGATGGACGACTCCAGCAGGTCGTTCACGGGACGAAGTCTTTCTACGACGAGCGAATCGCCGGCGAATCGATGCATACTGATTAGTATCGCGATTAATAATGGTAAACATAGTGTACGTGGCAGTGAAGGTTAATCGTTCTAATGTCCACAAAACAGTTGTAACGAAGAAAGGAAATAATAAAATAAAGTTGTGTATCCCTTTCCCTCTGTCTCTCCGCATTTTTGTCCCGCCTTCGAGCCGGCCGAGACTGCGAGATAAGATCGTCTGTGAAACTGGAGCCTGAAGAACGTCGCCGAGGAAATGAGTCAGCCGGGGATGAAGATACGGCGAGAAGATCGTTAAACGACACCCAAGTCGACGCGCGTGAAATGTCGCCGAAGATGTCTCCTCCGTGTGTCCTCATGGCTCGGCCAGGCCAGGTTGACAAATCGCGCGGAAGCCGCGGTAACGGGCGGTAAATTTAAGTAAAAACGGAAGCCTATCTCTCACGTGACTCATCGCGCTATCTCGGCTCGATTGTGCCTCCCTGCCTCGTCGCTAATTCGACGTCGGAGACATCGGATCGTAGATCGCGCTGCGCCGTGGGCCACGACGACGTATCGCCGCGCGATGTAATCACGCGGTGCCGCGGCGTGTAACATCTGTAAGAGGCGAGAGTACAGCCGTTAGTTACACGCGCGACTGGCTATCACGCCCGTCGGAAAGAAACCGGACTCGCGTCGGTATCCAGCCGCTCGCCTCAGTCCACTGGAGGAACTGGATACCCTCTCCCCCTGCCCCCCACCCGCTCACCTCGATTGCATTTTCATAATCGCGAGCCCGAGCCCGAGCCCGCGCCAGCTGTCATTATCGACATCATAATCGGGGACCGCAACGCGCGGTAGAAAGGGGATAGGTCGCAATTTTTAGCTCGTTTGCCTCGGAGCGAGCCGAAGCGTTGGAATTTCATTCCGCTCGGTTGCGCGAGCGCGCGCACGCACCGTCCGCGTAAATTCCATTCCGAACGGCCGCGATTGACAGTATAACGGATCCGCCGGTCGGATTTTCGCGACGATTCAATCGCCGCGCGGAGCTGATCTTGGGAGCAAAAATTCCCCGATCGGTAATACGGCGGTGATCGGAGCGTGTTTACGGTGTTCTCGCGACGGCGGCCGGCAAACGGAGGCGATTGAATTTCCGTAGGAAATGTCTCGTTATATCCTCGTCGCGGCGAACCCTATGAT